ATTTGAAAGGGTACTTCATTCTCTTTACCATAATGAAAAATGGAAATTAAAGGCAGTTCTGTTAAGGGCTGCATTGATGAAACCTATGTGCATCACAAATACTCTTTCAGTATGTTTGTTTAATGCATATTATTCTGTTTGAGTATTTAACTAAGTAAAATACATCATCTGTTTTCTGGTTGCACATATACTTTGCTTGTTATAAGAAATGTGGAGATCCCAGAGCATCTCATTAGGGCTTGTATATTGGTGTTTTATATGTTGGCGATTCCAGTGTATCTGAACAAGATCAAGCTAACCCACACTCTTGCTATACACAATATCCTTCTTTCCCCATTTTCCAAATACAAAATCCCATAATCACAGTCTCATTGGGAAATGATGGCAAAACACTTTCTGAAGAAAAAGGCAGTCAAACTCTTTTGGTGCAGCTATCCACTTGTCAGAAGTTATGGAAAAAGAGCTGTTGTCTTGAGGTACAACCCTCTGGTCTACTGTTCTAAAGCAAAGGCACAACAGTCCCCAGGAAAGGCCCAGTATACATTTCCTTAGCTCAATCAGCAGGAATGAATGTATTTTACAGATTACTGCTAATGAACTTGATGATCTTGTTTCTTATAACTCATTCCCAATCAAATTTTGCAGTAAAAACAATATTTGTCACCTCCTCATCATATCTGGCTCTGTCTCAGTACTCAGAGGGCTGAAAATAAAGACCAGGGCTACAAGAACAGAGCGCATGCCACACCTTGGTTACATCCAAATGGCAGCACTCTTTTTTACTACCATAGCCTGTATTATTCCTACCTGTGCCTGAGCAGAGAGTGTTTTGGCATGAATATGTACTAAAACTATTCTTTGGAGTACACAATTCAAGGGAATAAATGGCTATTTATAGCGTTTAATTCCAATCATGAGGTATGTGTAGTGGTAGAGATGGAGCCATAGGGTTTAAATTCAGTTCTAACACCAAGATTTTCCTTTCCTGTTCAGCATGCTTGAGCATGAGTGTAGTCCATACCAGAGATCACATAATAAACAGCTTCTGTTCTGCACCACATTTTTTGCTGAACTACAGACGCTGTAGTAGAATATATATGCTAGGGTGAATCTATCATTTTTATGTCTTTGTTTTATTTACAACAAGGTTGCACTTGCTTGAGGAAAAAAAATATCTGCAGTGTCTCAGCTAATAGATTACTAAACACAATTTGCTTCATGCAAAATATCATGAAAAATCCAAATTATATCCTCCGGTAGTATACAGATATGAGGCAGTGGTACTTGTTTAGTTTTATATATACTCTTTTGTGTACAATTTACTATTGAAAGTTTGAAAGAGACACCACGACTATGTGTTTATGGCATGACAGAGACAGACCACGATCTAGTAGTACCTTGAGGTCAAACTATATAGTAAAAGGTAGTCAAGGTTTGTATGGCCCTAAAATTGAAATCTCAGTGCCTAACGTCATCTGTAAATCAAGTCTTATGGACAATTTTATCAATCAGTGTTTGGAGGACTCACTAGAGAAGTAATAATTTGACTAAATACTAGCGAAACAGATATAGAACACAAATGACATATCAGGCAGAAAAGGAGGAGATAGGCCAAAGCAAAAGTAGAATATACTCTTTATTTATTAGCCTAGTAATTCCTAATCAAATTGATACATTACAGGAGAACACTACAAAGGCAGTGAGGCATAGGTTTTATTACATTTCCTTTTAGCAAAGGCAGGTTTCTTCCTTTTCTAGTTGCCAAATCACTGTAGCTTTTGAAGATCCAGGATTCTCTGCCAAACACTGAGAAGACAAAGGCTCAAACATATATCTCCATAAAACTAACCTTCTATTTTTGCACTCTAGTATTCCCAGGAAAAACAAAAACAAACAGAAAGAAAACAAAAGACCACCAAAACCAGAAAGAAAACAAAAGACCACCAAAACTAGGATGTTTTTAAAAACTTCTATTTCTGCCACTGGGACCAACCATAGAAAAGATGAGAAACTCGGCAGTTCCCTTGGACACTGCTTGCTCTTTGTAAAGGTGAACACTCAAAAGGATAGCTCATGAGCAAACCCACCATCTTCAAAAACCTTTCTTTTTCAGGACATTTATCAGCTGCATTTTCACCTACTGCTAAGAAGTTTTAAAGATAAGAATAAATAATAATAACTCTGCATGCAACAGATAGCTGCCTGGACTCAAAAAATACCAGGGAACTTAAAATGTGCTGTGTGGTTCATATTATCATTACTCTTTATTATTAAGAAATGCCTACACAATATTCAGTGCTATGACATATATTCTGTCATTGGATAAGTCTATTATCATTAAAAAGCACATGCAATGGTACATAGCAGTTCAGGACACCACAGTCTTCTCACCTGCATTCAGATTAAGACTGAAGCATATACTCACTAGAACAAAGCTTGAATACTTCGTTGATTGGCATTTCATTAAATGTGACGGGAAGTGCAGCCTGCTTCTTTTTTTTCTTTAAATTTAAGAACTGTTCTACAAAAATTATCTTCTATTCCTTCAGCTGAAAGGAGGAAAAACAACCCTTGTTTCACAATATTATCTCTTTAAGCCAGAATGCATAAAAAAGCTAAGATTTTTCTACTTCATATAAATCATACATTAAAATGTAAAATTAATTTGCACTATATCCATCTGTCCTAAAATACATGAACAGAAACATCTACAAGTATAGCGTTCTCTTCTTTTTGCTTCCAAACACAGTGTTTCTTTTAGGAGTTTTGTAAAACTTACCAAATAAAAATCCTTTGGGGTTGGTGATGCCATTGGTTGGCAATGGCTGGAGTTCCCCATCTGGTTCAGCCTTGTACAGAGAGCAGGAATGCTGCTTTTCTTGTTCATATTTCAAGGCAGAACCACCACCATATTTTTAAAAGGCCAGGCTATTGCTCCTGAGAGCACTCAGACAAAGCATATGTGACTAAATGACATATCATATACTTTGCAAATTTGAAACTGCAGGAACTACAGGGATTTAATAGCGTTTGCTGCCAGCACAGAGTCCTCTTTTCTGTTTGTTCCCTCTCTCTACCCTTCCTTTCAGTCCATAAACCAATGCAGAATTGATGGATTACACAATTTTCCTCAGAATTATATCTATTGTTTCAGGGAAAGGAGTGTTATTTTTCAAAGCACTCATTCAGAAACTTGGCAGAGAGATGCCTGATCACATTGGTACTCTACGCCCCTTAGGATGCTTCTCTTTTGTTTTAGGAAAGAGGATAGAGAATATTAAGAAGAAAAAAAAAAACAAAAAACCACAAAACGTCACATATGGCAAAGAAAAGGGAACAGACATTGCAATATTTCTTCTGTAAGTAATCATGTTCCTGAATTTGGTACAAATATGATGAAGAGGACAACTGGATGCTTTGCAAACCCTAGATGTCCTGGATTAATGTTGAATAATGAAATGTTAAGTAATGAAATAATCAGTCCAGGAGGGTACTGCTAAGGTGATTCTTCTGATTATCTACACTTACCAGTTAGATTCAAGCCAGCAGCAGGATTTGAGTGCTTTGCCTGAATTCATACAATCGCAGAAGGCAAGGCCCTTTGGGCTCATCAGACCCAATCCCTGCTCCACCACAGACACCTAGAACAGGGGGCCAGGATCAAGTGCAGACAGCTTCCTTTCAGATGCAACCATGTGCAGACAGCTTCAAATGAAATCAAACCAGAAGATGTGCTCCCAGGGAATGCTTCTCCAAACAATAAAACACTCAGCGTCCTGACTTTAAAGCAAGAAAGCAAACTCCCCTAAAATGTACATGGCATGAATGCCACATCCATAGCACTCATGACTAATAGGAACCTTGCCTCTGTGGCCACTTTAGGGTACAATTTGTGCACATAGCCATCAAATCTGTTTGTGCAAATAAGAGAGGCCTTTGTGTACGGCCATTCTGGGAAATTGGGTTCAGGGAGTGTTCATTCTCTGGAACAGTTACTCTTTATTTGCAACTCATCAGTATTCCAAAGCATGTAACAGAGGGGGCTATACCTGAGACGAATAAAATCAGAAACATCTGCTTTTCAAAATTTTAAAATGAAAGTTTTAAGAGTTTTAAGACCATTTTTTTCATTGGTAGAAGAGGATACGTCCAACAGAAATTACGAAGCTGAGGTTTTCAAAAAAATGTATCTTTTTTACTGTTTTCAGTGTTGTTATACCCACATGAGCAGCTGCATATTTACAACTGTCTGCAATTGAAAATGGATGAATGTATTTGTTACCTAAAGCCACCAATAACCCATTTGATTAAAAAGGATTTTCAGATCTACAGTCCTTGTTCTTCCATATGTTTAAAAAGGGAAAATCACAGCAAAATGAACGCTGCAAAATCTGATCTGTGTCTCCAGAAGCAGTCAAATTCTTGTTTGTTGCCAACACACATTAACCCAGGCATAAGGTGCCGAAAAACAGCATTAAGGACAAATATGTATTTATGAATTAGGGAGGATAATCAGAGAAATCTGAATGAATTATTATTATTCCAAAGCAGTGGTAGCTCACTATGTAGAAAAAAACATAGTTTCTCACAAATTATCATTTCTGTGTACAAGACAAATGGAAGAATTGTGAGTAATTTCAAAAGTTGAGTTTATGATACTTGCATGTAGTATTTCAGACACTTTTGTGAATGCAACAGTAAATTTCTGCTGGTTTGGGGAAAAAAAAAGAATATCAGTAAAAAATTGAGTTCATATTTTCACTATGTGTGGGAAAAACAGAGTATGTCAGCATACCAATTTCAGAGCTAATTAGAAGCAATTTTTACATCAGAACAATGTCCAAAAAGTGGGAGGAAAAGATATTGCTCTGCTGAAGAGACTTCTCATAGTTGCAAAGTTCTAGATTTTTATACAATAAATTATGGAGCAAGCAGCTAGAACATGGTAGATACAAAATTCCATTTTTAAGATGTTCAGAATGAAACAATCTCTCATGGTTTTTTTGTTTGTTTTGTTTTGTTTTAATTTTTATATGGAGCAGTTATCCTTGCAAAAAGTCATTTGGTAAAATAGGTTCATAAACTGTTTTTATCATGCCTTTCTAGTGAGGTGCTTAGTCAGAGCTTCAAAACTCAAAGATTGCGGTATCAAGCATAACCAGGGGGCAAATTTAGAATAAAAGAAATGCTATTTAATGTGACAGCTTTCTCAGCTCTGTTTCAGAAGGAAATATATTTTTAAAGATTCTTTAATTAACTTGTTTCAGACATCTCATACTCCTGACAAAGATCACATTGAGAACAGATAAAAATCCCACATTAATATTTCTTCCAAGTACTATAGGTTGAAGTGAGACAGTAAATTAATTCAACCTATGTCAATGCCTTCAGAATATTGTTGTCTTTTTCCCCATTGATGCCACTGTATAGAAGGCAATCAAAGTAAAGATTAAACACAGGGTCATCACTCAAACTCTTGTGATTTCTGTGTTAGATTGGAACACAGTTTCAGGTGAAGATAGCATTTAAGAAGCCTGCTGTATACAAACAAGGATTTCATGAAGATGGGCTGCCAGCTTCCCCAGGAGGATGCTGTGGGAGACAGTGTCAAAGGCTTTGCTGAAGTCTAGGTAGACTACATCAACAGCCTTTCCCTCATCCTCCAGGTGGGTCACAAGGAGACAAAATTGGAAGGACCTGCCTTTCATGAATCCATGCTGGCTAGGCTTGATCCCCTGATTGTCTCGCACATGCTGTGTAATTGCATTCAAGACAATCTGCTCTATAACCTTCACAACATACAAGCATATCTTCAGAATTGTGTTTTGATTACACTCTAAAGTATGTTTGAAGAAGGGAAGTCCTGTATTTAGTCCAGTATTCTGCAAAATACATGAGCCCAGTCACACTTCTGGGCACCAGAAAGCAAATTGTTTTCCTCCAGTCCCTTGAATTTACTTGGGTTCATTTTGTGGTCTGTGATAGGGAGAGTGTGAATATTTGTGATAGTTAATGATTTAAAAATAGTATTTAACAGATTGAAATGGTTTAATGGCATTTTGCTGAAGACGGTTTGGACTAGAATTTATATTAGATTGATCAGGATCAGGGTTTGAAAACAGCTGAAAAACAGCTTTGAAACTTCTCCAAAGTGACTGGAATCATAATTAATGGCTTGCATTAAATTCAGCCTTCCCTGATAATAAGAGACACCAATATTTATGGAACTTTTTTGTTTGATTGTCTTGCAGCTTTGTTTTCTTGCAATACTTATTTGTTTTTCAGCAGCACTGGCATTCAATGTCACCAGTTCAAATTGTCGTTCTTGAAGCAGAGCTGTCAGAACAAGGGCCACTTGCTGGTTCAGTGGTAGCATGTTGTTTAGAAATCTGTGGAGAACATCACTTGCACTTATATATGTTCTGATAAGACACCTGTCTGCTTCTCAAATTATGATTTATTTCATCTTACAACTCAGCTAAGAAAAAAAAAAAAGGAAAAAAAAATCATTGTCAAAGACAGACATACATATGACTTTTCAGAAGTGCTCAAGAAAACTCAGGTATAAAAATCAATTTAATCATAATTTTAAACCACATCACTTACAGCATACATTAACAATCAGCCAGTCAAAAAACAAACAACAACAAAAACCAACCTTTATTCCAAAGAAAAACAGCAGATTTCTTCAATACTTCAGTAAAAACACTTCTTAAGTAGCATGCTTTACTGTTTGAAAATAAGGTTCACATCAACAAACCATTTCTTACAGACTCATCAGTACCAATTCCGTACTGGTGATTCACACTTCTAAAAACAACTTAATTGTTGCCATGTGGCATTTCATACACACAAGCAGATTTAACAGTTCATAAGATAATTTTTCAGGTGATGTTTCCACTGTCACTGCAGCAACGTTATTCCCAAAACTGGCTTTGCAAAGGCAATCTCTCTAAATGGCATGGGTGCTAGTGCTTGGTTCAGGTAAAACCACCAGCTGTTCTCCTTGGAATCATTGCATGGAACAATTGTGGTGAGATCAGAGCAGAAGATGACTGTGGGTGGCCAAAGGACTGCTTTGTACACTGTAATGCAGAAATCCTGTGGATAAAGCCGACCAGTTGCTTCAGAAGCTTTGCTAGGATGGTGCACAGCTGAAGCAGCAGCACCATGGATTGGCAGATGGAGTATAACAAATTCTGACAACGGCCACAGGAGCATTGCAGGAGATGGCTGCAATGTAGCTCCTGTGCAGCAACCTCCACAAGGCTATTTTACCCCACTTGGGAAGAAAAAATATTCCCACTCTTCATTCATATTGAGAAAGATCTTTTTGGTTTTTTATTCCCCACATTTTCCATATTGTCAAAAATTGGTCTGCCAGCACCACCATATTTGTAAAAACTCATTAATCACATCTCTAGTGGTTCTCTTGTTTATGAGATTCGTCTGTGATTTACAGGGTAGGAAATTAAGGTTGGCATAAGTGAGTAAAACTTGATTGTTGCTATTTCAACCATTAGTCGCATTTCTAACATTTGGAACTGATTGTTTGGAATTTTCATACTGTCAAAAGTATATTTCAGTTTGTAATTAGCTTGTTAGCTTTTGTTTATTCCACCACATGGAGTTTCCTCTTAATTTTAAATAACAAAAGTTGATTTTTTGTTGTCTTTTATTGGGGAATGTTTAGATTTCCTAATCTGAAGACCATGATTTCATGATAGAATTGTAATTACAATGCTTATCTTGTTTTCCAAGGAAGTGTTTAATTAAGTAGGCTGAATCAAGCCAACTGTTCAGGAAGAAAAGCTGAGGACAGAGAAGAGTACTACTTGATATTGTGTTTCAGTGCAGTATCAGTTACACATCGTGACTTGGATCCCTACAGAAGCAAAGCACTTCTGCTCACGTGTGACCAGGATATTCCACATGCAGAAAGAGAAATGTAAATGTATAACTTGTTCCACACAAAAGTACACTTCCTATTTGCATCTGTAGACACTTATCTGTAACCACATAAGTCTAAATCTATTTAAAAATCACAAAGTCACAGAATTTTAGGGTTGGAAGGGACCTTTGGATACCATCTCAGTCCAATCCCCCTGCTAACACAGGTTTCCTACAGCAGGTAGCACAGTGGGAGGAGTGTAGAGGGATTTTTATTGATGAATATAATTACCTCTAACTGTATGCAACCATCACTACTGTTACTAACTACAGAAATTAGTAGTTAAAGTTCATTATCTAGTCAATGCAGAAGCCAAACACCTCCAAAGGCATGATTTACTCCTGTCTGTTTCACACAGTTCTTTTGGGCTGGGTTAGCTAAAGTTAGATGCACTTCTATTCTCCTTAACTCACTGTTATGAGATCTTGGTTGATCTCTCACGTAAACCATCTGTTTCAATTGCCCACATTTCTGAACGTAAGCAATCTAAATTTATTTTTACTCAGCATCTCCAGTTGTCACATATTATAGACCATTCAGACCAAGCTGGTTTTATTATTAAAATATCTTTCAAAAACATTCTGCCAACATGTAAATTGTTTTTCTTCTCTCATTATTTTTCTTTCAATATAAACTAGCATTCTGTTTTCAATTGAACAAAGCTGATGACTGTAATGACTCAACACTGTATTTTGGCTTAATTTAACACCCAGTGTTTAGATTAGCAACTATTGTTAAGATCTTTTAAGCCTTCATAACATCTATTTGTAGCTTTAGCTCTGCCGAAAGACACCTTTTGTTAGATTAATTATCACATCTCAGTCTTAAAAATCTCTGAAATGAAACTATTGATCCTGACAGTGAATTTAGCTGACATAGAATAAACACTTATACATGGATATTGCAACTTATTGTATCTACAGTTTCATTTAAGTCCTTAGTGGGCACACTGACATTCATGTAGGTATACTGTGAGTATATGCTAGACAATTCTTACAGTTTTCATGTTATATATAAATTGTCCCCAGCAGCACTTGTAAGGTGCAATGCAATTATATTGTATAGTTGGGACAGTAAGAAGAGGCAAAGTCTGTACAGATCCCTAAAATCATCATTAAACAAGTGTTCATTATTAAAGAGGATAACAAATGGAATGGGAAGGAAAATCTAACTTAGATCTGATCACTTAGATATGATCAGATGCAGAACTGATTTCTTTTAAGAGTGACTGTAAGAGCTTAAGTCTGCCATTTTGTGCACCTCAGCTTGGGTCTATTTAACTTCAGCTTAAATAGTGCTTACTTGTGTGGGGAGATTTGATTAAAGCAGTCTTTGTCTTTTTGCCTATCATGAAACTATTAGAATTGATTCTGTGCCCTGCCTGGTCTCATTCATTTATCTAGCATAATACGAGCATTTCCTGCAGCACAACGTAAGCATGAAGACTAGAAAATGAGCATCTGAAATATTGAAAAGCAAGGAAACCCTACTCAGATGCTACTACTCTTGGCACATAATATCCTTACATACAAGACATCAAATACAACTTTTGCCATTATCATTCAGAAGACTTAGTTTTACAAGAAAGATACATTACAAAGAGAATGAAAAGGTAACCATCTCTGATGTCTTAGCAGCTATTCCATATTTTCTGTGACTGCACAAAGTGGCTAAAAGCAGACATAAAAGCAAAGCTGTTGAAAGCATTATACTTTATAAATGTTACCCTGTGAGCTTGTTCAAAGTCACAATAAGATCTGAGCATTGTAATGATATTGAGAAAGAGCATTACGGAATGTACTTTTACAAGTAATTTAAAACAAATGGACATTTATACATAATTATTCGAGGCTGTGGCAGTAGGGACTGGAGAAAGGCATATAATCATAGAATCTTAGAATTATTAAGATTTAAAAAGACTTCTAAGATAATCTAGTCCAACCACCAACCCAGAACAACCATGCATACTAAACCATCTCTCATCTAGTCCTATCTTCCCCATTATGGGTATAATCTTTTAGCCATAACCACAGCTGTCAAAATTTCCCTCCTCTCCCATGCAGGTCCCTGGCTGACAAAGTCTTCAAAAACATTCAGTCTTACTTTTTAATGACTTCTTGTATACTTTTTTAAAAGTTACTTGATTTTTCTCTGCTTTGTGTCCTCCCTCTACAAAGCAGTGATGCTCACACTCATAATGTCTTATAAAGCATGTACAGAAATGACAGAATCGTCTTCCCAAAACTGAGAGAGGTGAAATTGAATGAGGCTGAAGCAAACCTGGAAAAGAAAATTTAAGACATTTCAAGAGATAATCAGATCATCAGGAAATGCTGAAATACTTCTGACATCCAAAGAAGTAAGGTTACCATCAATTAACCTTTTCTGTACACACTTATAAATTATTCAGTCACATAATGGAATTTAAATTTAAGTGCAGTTGCATAGATCCCTAAATTGTACTTAGAGCTGGTTTAAAATGCAGGGTCTGAAATGCACTTAAATGTTACATTGAATGGCAATGAAATCTGAAAGTCTGAAACCTTGCAACAGGGCTCTGCTGATTCACAGAGCTCTAGCAAGCAGGTTGGGAGCTGGGGGATTGATCTGCTTCATACCTGTAGGCAAGATGTTAACTGTTTACACAATGAGTTCCCTGCTCTGTCGACTCCAGGAACAGTAACTCTTCCATAAGCAGAATTCATGGTAAGAGTACATATAGAGCTATGGAGGGACTGTGCTGATTTTACTGCTCCTCAAGGACATGAGTATCTCAGTAGTACAAACAAAAGCACTGTGATTGGAAGATACAAAACGCTGTATATATACATGTTGCAAAATTGTGTTGAAATCATCTCATTCAGGTGAATGAACACACTTGGCTCTGGAATTTATTGTGTTGCTCATGCTTTCCCTCCCATCTATGAAATGAAGGAGCACAATAGGACAGAGTAGAGTTCAGATTGTTCAGAGTAGATTGATAGCGGCCTTTCTGTATCCAAAGGGTGCCTGTAAGCAAGAAGGGGACAGACTCTTCAGCAGGATCTGTTTTGACAGGACAAGGGAAAATGGTTTCAAATGAAAAGGGGGCAGATTTAGATTGGATACGAGGAAGAAGTGTTTTACAGTGAGGATACTGAGGCACTGGAACAGGTTGCCCAGAGTGGTGGTAGATGCCCCACTCCTTAGAGGCATTAATTGTCAGGCTGGACAGGGCTCTGAACACCTGATCTAATTGTAGGTGTCCCTGTTCATTGCAGAGGATTTGGACCAGATGACCTTTAAGGGTCCCTTCCAACTCAAACTATTCTGTGGTTCTATGATTCAGCCAGCATTATATCTGTACATTTTTCTGTGTAGGAAACACTGCAGTCAGTCCCTATTTGCAGTTAAATGCTAGAATAGCAGATCTTGACTGAAAGTCCTATGTTTATACGTGAAAATTATGTTTTATGCAGTCACTTCTGTCTGCTTTATAAATAATTTGTAAAATCTAATGTTAGTCATGCTACAAAAAAAATCGAATAGTTCACATGCATAATTCGGAAAACTAAGCTATGAGACTTTTGAATGGAGAGCTAGTCACTTAAGAATGTGTTTGTTTGTCATTTGGCTAAATTAGAACCAGACAATCTAAGTGTATCCAGATGGAAAGTATTACTACAATAAAAAATAAAAATAAAAAAAGCCAGAAAATTATATCTGAGCACTGGCCTATAGAGTTACTTAAATGATCAAACAAAGCCTGTGGAACAAAATATTCCTATAGGATCACCCTAACTTTCTCAAGATTACAGAGAAAGCTTTGCTGAAGGAGTTCAATTTATTTTGAAATCTAGTATGAAAAACTCCTGCCCAGTTTTACAAAGATTTATTTCAACAGTCACAGTGATTGCATGCTTCTTCAGCATAAAAGCTAGATGGCTTGTAATACAGTATTACTACACCAGGACATATGTACAGGATCATTAAGGGCAGCTAAATTAGATAGATATGCAGGAAACCCAGACTGTCCTTACAAACCTAAAGTGCAATCAGCTGCTTCCACAAAGCTCGCCTAAATGGCCCAGAGCTTGGCAAGCTGAAGTATGAACAATGTGTGTCTTACTCATAAATTGTCCCTCAGATCATGCCTGAGCCTTGGGAATAAAACATTTTTGCTTGGAGGTTTGTGACTTTGGGAGAACAAAAATTTTTACGCAGGAAATATAAATCTCTTCTTTAAAAAGCAAAATATATAAATGAGGGAATAGGAGCCTCCCTGAGTCTGTGTCCTCAGACATCCAGGAGCTCTCTACAGCTTCAGATGCTGACCCTGCATTGCACAGGTTGCTTCTCAGGAGAGATGAGCTCTCCATCAGCCTTTACAGGCTGACCTAGAGAATCACCGCACAGCCAGAGAGATCAACCCAAAAGGCTGCAATTAGAGCCTGGTGAGAAAACAAAGTTTGCTTTGGCTTCACATTTTGAAGCTGCTTCTCGTTTCAACAAATGCCTCTTAACTTTGCTCCCAGCCCCTTTTTCTCCTCATCCATGTCTGGAGAAAACCCTCACTGGATATTACTGGATATTGAGGATATTAATGCAAGACAACTAAAGGAAAAAGGACTATTTTAACCTAAGGTACACTGAGGTAACTATTTTAACTAAGGTACACTGAGGCAGCTGACATTGCTAGACAATAGTTACCCAGAATCCATGTTTTGGAAAGAACATGCTGAAAAGTCTGTCAAAAACAAAAGAAAATGTCTGTAAATGTGAACCAAAACACACATTCTGAGAAAGAAACAAGAACTATACTGCTTACTTAAAAGGCAGATGTTATCTATAGGTATTTTTAACTGATGATTGTCATTTATTTTGTCTGGAAGCAAGCTTGCTATTTCCACATATTTTTTGTGTGTGGATTTTTTTATTTTTTTATTTTTACCAATTTCTGCTATTGAGTGGTATCTATAGATAAGATACAGCCAGAAGCGCTGTTTGTGTAATTGCACCTTCAGAGAAGCAGTTAAATCCCCTCTTTCAGTGCTGCTCTCACACCCACATCCTCTTAATTCATATGCAGTGCCTTATCTCCTGCTGTCTGGCCTGTGAATTATGTGTCTGCTTCTATGTTCTCTGCCAGTGTTTGCTCATCTAGGGTTGGTCATTTTTCACCTACTAAGATATACAGTCATCACAGTTACCAGTCGTGCCTCCATGGTAGAAAATGAAAAGAATGTCCTTTCACTTTGCTATTTAACCCTGTTAGTGCTAAAAGAGACTAAGGATAGAACTCATCATAACATGCTTTCTAATTGAGATCAACCTGGGAGCTGGAAAATTCGGTAATGTTTCCTTAGTATTTTGTTACTAAAGTTACCAGAGCCTGCAGCAGCCTTGGCTTCTATCCATGAAGCACTCATAAATCACTGTGAGTTTGGTCTGCTCTTCCGCATTACGGCACACAGCAGGCTGAGCAGAGGAAGAGACACATTAAATGGAGAGACACAGAAGTGTGTGTGAATGAGAGAACACTGCAGGACAGCAAATGGTTTCCTAAAAGGACCAAGAGGCATTTAATCATATGGACCATATGAGTGACAGGAATTGCTCCCTAAGCTGGAGGATGCATCTGGCTTCAGCTCTGCTGTTAAGGCACTGTAACCCCAAACATGCAGTGCAAAGCATCAGATATCAGAGGAGTGACTGTCCTACTGATATTGCTGCCAAAATGCTTCAAGGGTGTGGGTGAATGGAAGAAAAATACAAAGAGTTGCTTTTCAGCCCAAATTACTGGCAGAATAACATGCATTTTAATGTTAATTCTGTTCCCAGAAGAGCATTCAAGAAATCAAAATACATATGGGATTTCCAATAGCACATCTTAAGGGGATTCCTCTATTTGTTATGCCTCTCATTAAGAAATTAATTGCTGACAAATTTATCACATATGACACGCCCACATCTTCAGCTATCTTTGGCTATGTTTCTCTGTAGTCCCTTCTTCTCCACACTATCATAAAAGTCTCTTGGGGTGCCAATAATAATAGATTTTATGCAAATTACCGAGTGTAAAAAGAAAAAAAGGCAAGTTAACACTTTGCCCACAAAACACTGGCACTGCTTTCAAAGGAAAAAAAACCATCCCCCTCAAAAAAACAACCTTCCCCTCACCCAAACAAACAAACAAAACAACCAAACCCAAAGGACATGCCAGAAGCTTTGCCAGGTTATCTTTCCCATACTGTTGAGACTGGTTTTTTTTGTTGTTTTTTTTTTTTTTTCCAGAGAGACTTGAGGGATCAACAGAAATTTCTCAAAATCACTGATGGTGGGCAGCAGTTATGAGAAAAAGATTTATCACCATAACAAACTCATCTCCACTTAGGAAATTACAGTTTGCCAGACCTCTCCCTGCAGCAACACCTTGGCATTTTATGGGGCTGATGTTATTGCAATACAGCTCCCAGGGGCAGCAACCCAGGCAGGTGATAACTGCAAAAAAGCCCTTTGCCCAGGCGATGCATCAGCATTCTGGTAACGCAGCTGATGTACGATTGCGTGTCCAAGTAACACCATGAACTTGCACATTCCTCAGATTGGTGCAAGGTTCTAGTAGAGCATGTGCTGCAAAACTATTGCTGCTGGATTCTGGCAGGCACCCAAGGAAGAACAGCACCTGCAGCAAGGTCAGGGAAATACTGGCTAGAACTTTTGAAACACCTTCGGTTCAAGTCTATTTTTATGGTACTCAAAACAACAAAAAAGTAAAAAAGTAACTTTTTTGCAGACTTGAGCTAAATCACTTGACGTTTGTTTTCCCATGAAGGCTCCAGGAACAATCAACATATTTGCTATAGGAAAGCATAAAAGCATATTCCCAAATGATAGTTACAGTTCCTGAAATGGCTCTGCTGCCAGCAGTGCTTTATGACCTCGCAATATTCAGCTTTTAAAGTGCCCTTTCTTTTACCTGAGACAGAATTAGTATGAAAATATTAAGAATACCTGGTGCCGTTTAACACCATAAATGATCAATATTGTTGAAATTAATGTGAAAACCTCTTTTCTTATCTTTCTCAGCAGTGTGCAGCAGTGATAGCGCTTACCTTGTAATCCAGAAAATGTAGTGGAAGCTTAGTCGAGTAAAAGAGCTATGGTAGTACATGGGATGGTATCTTCCACTGATCCAAAAAGATAACTGTATTGCTAAATAGTACTGCCCATGGCAGTTAGTTTTACAGAGCCAATACACAAGACTGATAGCAATCCATGAACAGGATACCTCTGGGCTTCCCTTCTTCAGTTCGATCAACCTGTGCTGCTAACCAGACACAAATCTTGCTGGCTCAATGCCTACATTATAACCAGGGAATATAGAAGCTTAAAAAGCTGTAGTCTAGACAGAACTGGAAATTTTAATATGATTTGAATGGTTCAGAGGGGGCACACCTATGCTTTCTGTCCCATTCAGAACCTTAACACATCTAACTGTTTTATAGACAGGGCAAGTTTTAAACAATTCACATTGCAAGGATTTGATAAAACAGGAAGTTCTATACCATATATGTCAGATATTCAATAGGAACACCCTAGAATTTAGAACTCATTTGACAAATGTTTCTCCCCATGGGCTAAAGATCTTTTAAGGATACAGCTTTTAAACTTATGCTCCTGTGGCAACTATGGCAACTATCATATGCTGTCATTTACAACTTTAGAGGATGCAGTTGAGTTCCAGGACTCCTGCAGAGAAGAAAATATCTGTTTTTCCTTAGTTCTGAAGTCTGAAACCATTGAAACTACATGATTATCTACTGCAGGAGCCAATTTTGATAATAAACATCTGTGAGAGAAAAACAACAACCTTTCATCACTTTGAATATATTCTAGAATAAGCAAACCTTTTATTTCACACTTTTTATTTTTGACTTCACAAACATCATGGATTCAAAAAGTGGAGAGGCTTTGATAACTTAAAAAAAAAAAACCACAGGAAAAGAACGTGGTAAATGTAGAACTGCACAAAAATTTGGAGAAAAGTGGAAACAACCTCTTAACACACCAAAGTGTTGAGCCTTGTGCCTGGATTTTAGTACCAATAGTGACCTCACCAGTGCTGCATGGAGGCCAACGCCACATCCCCACCCCATGGGCACCTCAGCCCACTCAGATCCCCAAGGCTCTCACTGTCTCCACACATCACAGAATCATGGAATGATAAAATGGTTTGGGTTGGAAGGGACCTTTAGTTCCAACCCCCTGCTATAGGCAAGGATGTGTCCCTCCAGACCAGGTTGCTCACAGCCCCATCCAGCCTTGAATTCCAGCTTTCAGAGAGGGAGCATCCACAGCCTCACTAGGCAATCTGTTCCAGTGTCTCACCACCCCTCCCAGAAAAGAATTTATTCCTAATATCTAGTCTAAATCTGCCCTCTGCCAATTTAAAACCACTAAAAAGATGTAACTACCACATTTTCACAACTTACTGTAGTTAGTATCCTTCTATCAAGCTTTGAAAGATCTGAAAGTTATACCAAATCAATAGCACACAGTTATGCATATGCTCCTCCGAAAAGTGAAAGAAATCCTCATTCTGATCCACTTATATACAAGAAGTAATTGTGAAAAACTGATTTAGCTAACTGTGCAGGTTTTTTGCTATTTAGAACCTTTTTAATTATTATTATCAGAAAATTGTACAATTAAGATCACAGATTGAATAGTAATTAGTCAAATTATTTCCAAGCTCACACTGTGTGTATACTACTTGAAATTTCAATCATTTTAAATAAATTGACCTTTATCTGCTTTCTATTAAAAAAAAAAAAAAAAAAAAGAGTCAGGAATACTCTGAAATAATGTGAAATTATCTTTTAATTAGATAATTTAAAAAAAATAGAAAAAGAATTTACTGCATTAATTAAAGTGTGAAATCATTTTTTTTAGAAACACAAACATGAAAATACCCATATTGGATAAATACGCCATGCTTTACTACAACATTCTCTGATTCAAAAGATATAAAGTAACGTAGTACAAAATCAACAGGCCTGTGCCGTACTCCTACGTTACAACATTCTGTTACTACAGTTAAGCAAATGTTGTCTTGAAAAAAGTATACTCTACATCAAAAAAGGATGTACAAACGCATTCATAAACTCTGTGGTGGCATTAGTCATAGCTCTATACTTAAAACTGACCAGAGTTTTTCATGAAAAGCGTGCAAATTCACTTAACCTTGAAGTTACTCAGGCATTCATTTGGCCCATCATTTATTTTCACTTTATTCAGATTTTTTTTCCCCCAATTTGCAGTAGGCATTTAAACAAAGAAATATATTTCCAAACAAAACAAAGAAGTAATTTTATACATCTTTACCAGCAATCTGCCTATTGTGATGAGCCTCAGACAAGCTGGCTTTTTAGTTTAAAATTGTCTTCACTAATCATTAAAAAATTTCATGTTACCTTAGAGGTTATTCACTAAATATGTACTTTATAGAGTTTTACAGTCATTGGCTATTGAGCTATTTTTTTAAAACCATGCTTTTCAATAATACTCACTAATGAGTATGCCAGTGAATTCAAGGCTAACAAATAATACTCAGCTTCAGTTTTTGTTATCCTTTTAAGCTTTTGCATATTCATCCTCTTTCATTTCTGAAAACACTAAAGTAATCTATTGAGTCACTCTTGATACATTCCAGAAAATCTTGTATTCCCTTATCTCCTTTTGGAAAAACTGTTTCCTTTACCATTTTCCTATTCAATGCTCTTGTTGTTCTTTCTGTTGTTGTTGTTTAAATCATTCTGAATTATTCATTTCAAATTTTCAGATTACCTATATTCAGTGTTATTACTTGCATCCACTTTTCACACACTTTTACGTTCACATCTTCAAACCACTCTTATAAAGTTTCTGATTGTATCAACGCCACTGGCAAATGCTGAAGTCCTTTTTGTTTGCCCAATGATTATTAGTAGATCTTACCATCACTGTAAAAATTCCTACAAAATAAAACAAAAGGAACAAAAACAACAACAGCAAATAGATCAGCCTGTTTCTACTAACAGACTCATAGAGGGGCTTTTCTGTTTTAGGTGTTTCTGTTGTAGTTTTCAAACACAGTTCAACAGTTTCAGTGTGCAGAGAAGACAGATTCTCAACTCCCTTTCAGCTTTATTTTCTGAGGTTCTGTGAGTGAAGATCTGATATTATGTACATATGTATATACATGTCTTAGAATTTGATCATTACTATCACATAAAGAAGATACATTATTTTACTTCTTGTATCTCTTATTTAACGTACCTTTCTTTCTCTGTACTGAAACACAATTGGTGGCAGTTTCCCTTCCTGAAAGATAAATTGAGGTAAAGATTTTGTAATTTGTCTATTTTCATATAGGAACAGTATTTTCCCTGTCAAGTAACTGATTTATTTTCTGGATCATTGGTATATAAAACATTATAATGGTTCTAACCATTATAACAATTCTAATTGCTAAAAAGCATTAAATTCACATTTTCTCCAAGCACCACCACCAAATCTATTTTCAACCACAAATACTTAATATTTTTTTTAAATAGCAAATACAGAGCTTTGAGTGAATGTTTTGAATTTGTTCAAAATTTACATTGCGATTACACTTACCTTTCACTAGGAGCCAATATATTGCAGCATATAATGAGTCTAATCACTCCAATTCAACTAGAAGGAAAATCTATATCTTTAACATATGTTCTTGATCTGATTTGGATTAAGCCTTCTGCAGTTGAAACTCCATCAGATTTGTATTGGCTGTCACTTCTTGCCACAGTACCAACTGGAGTCCATATTAAGTTCAGTGATCCTATGATCTGGTTGCGGTCCTGGGCACTCTGGGTATCTCTGCTTGTGCAGGGGTCGGACCTGCATGGAAACAGAGGCCCTTGCCAATTTCAGCCATTCTGTGATCCTGTGATTAGGAAGACTGTTTAACTTGAGTTGGTCTAGTTCTGTAAATTTTGCAGATTCTTAACCAGGTGACGTGCTGGAGCTTTCTTAACAACCATTAGCATGCTCAATGAGTCTACATAGAGCAGATGCAATCACTGCTTCCATCCAGACCTCACACTCATTTGACATGGTGTGATCCCAAGTGTGCCATGCAAATCATGAGAAACTGCAGACCCGTGATAAAGATAACCAGTGAATTGATTCTTGCCCACCAGCACTTACATGTAGCTCCACTAAGGGAACTTAAGGCACTTGATACTTAGTATTTGGTAGTGATTATAGGCTTTGATTCCACAATATTTCATTTTATTGGAAGATGTGCAAATTTAGAAGCAATTCGTAAGTAATACCAAAGAGCCTGCATGTATGAAAAAAAAGTCTTAAAAGACTTGCAGCTTGAAGCCTCCTCCTGTCTGCCTTAAAAACCATTTCTGTTATGACTGGTGATAAACAAGTTGGGAACTATGCTTTCATTACAGATCCACCTTTGAAAGCTGGGATGCAACCCTCCTATTGGCTACATCTGAGGACTTGAAAGAGCACAATGTAGGATAAAGCCTGTGAAGGAATTGCTGGCTGACTGTCATTGCTTGAGGATGTTATATTGCCATTATTGACAGCTTGCCCAGAGAAGCTGTGGATGTCCCATCCCAGAGTTGCTCAAGGCCCCAGACAGCTTGATCTGATGGATGGTAACCCTGACCATGGCAGGGGCTTGTAAGTAAACGGTCTTTAAGGTCCCTTCCATCTTAAGCCATTCTCTCATTGTCTGACCATCAGGACAGCAGCATTCCACAGCACTCACAAATATTCAGCCATCATATTCTCAGCCTCTGATTTCTCTTTCGGTTTCTGCCTAACTTGTTTTCCCTGGTGATGATGCTAGCTTGCAGTGCCCAGACTCTGGCAGCAGCACTTCTGGGGACCAGAGGTAGCGTGGTGCAGGTGGGCAGCTCCCCACCACTGTAATACCCAGCTTCAGGTAGCATATCCCCCTACTCAAGTCTCAACTCCCAGCATGTGTACTGCAGTGATCAACCAGTTAGTGGGCGTGTGACACATGGTATGCTACACAGAAATCAATGGAACACATACCAGAACACTTTTAGCTTGAACTGCTTAAATTGAGTTATTTTTAAGTCCATGCTTTATTTTAACACTGGAAAGCACTGCTTAGCTGGATTATTAAACTCAGTGTGGGAGAGCTGGGCTACCTTGTCACTCGGTGTTCTGTTTACTGTTCACCGTGCTCTAAATTTAGGCATTGTAATTTCATTTTGATACTGATTCAGCAATTTTATCGTGATTTCACAACTTCTTATATAGCAATATTCTTCTTCACTTTTCAGTTTTACACACGTTTCATTTGAATTCCTTTTGAATGAGAGCCCTAAGCAATATGAAAGAAGTGACAGCCTCATCAGTTCATTCTTAATAATAACTTCCATAATCATGGTGTTTTCACTGGCTTTATATGAAAAGTTTCAACAACAACAACAGAAAACAACACCAACAACAAGGAGAACATCTGTAGGCACACAATTTAATGTAAGGAAGACCAAGAAATCAAGACAAGCTGCTGACAGGTATTTACTCCTCTGGAAGATTTTCTTCTTTTGATATAACATCTGGATGCCTCTTCTCTATGATCTTTGCTTTCATTTTCTTCACATAAAGATGTGCCACACTCAATTCTAGGTTCTAGGTTCCCAAATTTCGTATATTAATCACCTACCACACATTACAACCATTTTATTTACTTAGTGAGCTGCTATTGTCAGTATTGTGGCTACACCTCCATCTATCAGAGATTCTCAAGCTTCATTCATTGCTCTCACAATTACTGCCTATAGCTATTGCTGATATCCAGATTTGTGTTGGGATAAGAATGTCTTCCTGCATAAATAGACAAAAAGATTACCAACAATTTTTGAAATGGAATACAATGACTAGCAGAGGGCCTGGCAACACAGATTAGCTAAGGATATTCACACAGTATAATAAGGAGAATATAATTTGGGGATTACATCTGTAGTGAGAAAAATAGGCACTGAAAGAAAAACTAGTATTTTAAACTAAAAGTTTCCTTTTGAACACTCACAGACAATGAACTGGATGAGCTTTCTTACTTTAGCATAGGTCAAGTTCATAAACCAACTGCAGAAAAGTATTTTATAGTTTCTGCAAATGAGACACTCTGGGTAAGTGTACCCAGGGGTCTCAGAGAGACCTCTACCCAAGGGCCTCAGTGAAACACCACCACAGAGGTTGTATTTTAGTCACTGGAGTAATGTAAGTTAAATGCCCTCCTTTGCTGCCCTTCACTGCTGACTGGGACAGCTGCCTTCCCCTGTCTGCCGTACAAATTCTTTCCTCACAGATCTGTTCTTTTATAAAGGCCAGTAAAACTTCTGCTCTGTCTTTGTCACTTAAAACAAACCAAAAAAAAAAGTATTCTGTAACTATACATTTTCTGGCTCATGAGTCCCTAGGCTTTTTCCTCTTCTGTTTAAAAAGCATACGCTGAATTTATTGAATATTTTGCCCATTTTCTAATTAAAAGAGCAAACAAAATAATATATTTATTGCTGAAAATCAGTATACAATTTCAGAATATTTACACACAAGTAATTTTTAAAAATAAACATCTTGGTAGTTGTAAGAATGTCTCCTTAGACAGAAAATTGTTCTTAACAATTAAGACAGTTGCTAAGGTGTTTCCTCAGATATATTTCTTCCCACACAACTACACTGTCATGTATTGGAAAATATTATAATTGTAATGTAGTAGCTCTTGTGGATATTCTTGATAAAATAGGATGACTGAAGAAAAATCAGAGTGCAGCTTCAGTTGTTGGATGGATATTTTAAATGGGTTTGAATGCAATACAATGCTCCAGGTGTTTACATCACCTGTTAATAGTTGATTAGAAGCTAAAAACACATATTATTTTGTTTCTGAATCAGACCTAATTTGAAAAGCATGTAAATCTAACAAAGCAGCCTGAATTGTAACGTTGTTCAATGTGATTTAAAGTAGCACTGTGTACATGCAAATGTCAATATTATGCTCTCTATGCAAATATTCCCCTTGTTTGCATAATCCTTGAGAGTGTAGTGTTTCAGTATTTGGCTGCTTTCAGCAGACCAAAGGGCAATGTGGTGGTACTGCAACCTGAAGTACCTCCTAATAAGAAGTTACCAAAACCTCTTGGCCTTGTCAATACCAAAGTTACCGAATGTAGGCCCTAGTTATGCATAGCTCAGTTTTACTCGAGATGAGTGAAATCTTCAAACAAATGGGAAGCTGCCTGCCTCTGTACCTTCCTCCTGCAATGCTCCATCGCCACAGCATGAACAAGTGGAAGCCCTGCAACAATTCTCTCACAGGATGCAATAATTGAGACGTTTCCATAACCACACTCTGCCCACATAAATCAAAACTAAGAATTTGCAGTAAAGACTGTATCTCCTGTCTGAAGTCATTTCCTTCCATTCATCCTCTCGCCCAGCCTTTGCTCCTGTTTTATGCTGGCCATCGGATGTATCAATCACCAGCTCAAGTCAAGGCCAACAAATATCATACAGAAGCAATATTGCCATGGAGTCTAATGGCAGTGCAGCTTGCCTCAAACACTGCACTAAGCAGTCACTGGTCAGTCGTTGAGCACAGCAGTTTCATTCAGTGAACTGCAAGTGGGGCTTTCACATATGCACATTTGCCAAATTCTGAAATCCTTCCACCTCATTCCCAAAGCAGATTGGTTTTTAGTTTGTAACATGTTTCTCTGAGGTTCTGATTTAATAATTTTCAGTAATTTTTCATTCATATATCTATAGGTGTTCATGTGTGCAAATCTCTGCCTGTGATGATGGGCATTTCTTTAACCCAGGAATCTCCCAAGAAAAGCTTGCTTAGCTATTTTCACACCCCCCATTGTAGGGTGCAACTCAAGCTTCATCTCTGCAGGCACTAATCCAGCTGACATTCTTTAGGGATCCTGACTTGCCAGAGGAAACAGACACTGTGCCATTTTAGCTATAGTATTTTGTTGAATCCTTGACTCTTCTTTCAGACCAGTTATTTCAGTTTCTTTTAATTACTGATGATTTCAAAACTCCAAATGCATTATCAGCCTCTAACAGATTTCATAAGTCTGTTTTTTCTCCATGTAATACAGTATTCCTAGAAGATCCCACTTTGCTGTGTTTTCTGTGTATGTGTTTAAATCACTAGGAAGCACAAGTTTACAGATCCAGCTCAGTGATCCAGAAAGCATTCCTACCTTTTATTGAACAGCAAGATGCTGCATATTTTATTTCTAGTTCCCTTCTGCTCTCAGTTTGCCTCCTGCCTC